CCTATTGCATCATGATCATCATCGACGATGAATCATTGTTTATTAGCAACAATGAGCTGACTGTGAGGTGTGCCGATTGACTGCGTGTTCTTATAGCTCCGTTTATAAATCAGAAGATGAACTCCAATTATCGTATACGTTTATTCGAGGCACACCACATAGCGAATTGAAGAAGCGAATCGGAGAAGGCTAAGAGCCAACTCTTTGGATTACAATGCAAGCGAGTGGACGAAGCGACGTGGAGAAGGTTAAGAGCCAACTCAAAGAGATAGAGTATGACTAAGAATATATAGTCAGATAAGAATAAGACAGACATATGACAAGCGAAATAGGTGTGCAAACACATGAATAAAAGCGACAAATGATTGACAAGGTCAAAAGCAAGCGATACAAATCATGTGAGTTCATGGGAATATTACGAGATTAACATTAAAGCGAAAAGGATGAGTAAGTGCGTAGGCGTAAGCAATGCTCAGTCGTACAAGCTCATACAAAGCAGATAATAAAAAATAACAATGGTACATATGAGTTGTTGCAATACAAATTATGGCTTGGTTAAATAAATTAATCGAAAGGCTTAATCAAATTAAATATGAGCGAACTCAAGTTTATGTGGAGGCACTACAACTGCACACACTCACACACACACACACACACACTTAAAAAATCGTTGCCTGTGTATTCATGTTTTCCGCTATAAAAAAATATTATTATTTCAAAGTGATTTTTCATTTCATTGCATTTCTTCTGTTGTTTGTTTTCTTTTCCGCCTATTTGAACAGACTAATTCGAATGCTTATCAAAATTTAGCATTGATTACACTGGAATTATTATTGCATTTTATATTTCTACGTTATCATGTGATCATAGCGAATTGGTATGTTGAACAAGTTGTTTGCTGGCATTTACATTTGGCACTCAATTCTAATTCGTACTTTATATTATATATATATATATATATATATATATATATATATATATATATATCATGTAAATTATGAATTGATCAATGTTGGGTCGATATAGAAAAGCTAAGAAGCACTGTGACCTTGTTTCGTCATCATAGTATATGGGTGGTACGCATACGCGTCAACATATGCTTGAACTATTACAAGTTCATCTGAATTGGTGAACAAGAGCGCGAGGATCAGTAATCCGGTGATATGACATGCTTCTCTAATCCGAGCGTCCCAAAAGAAGAAGAAGACTTGATATGAAGTAGAACGTGTATTCTACAAACATTCAGAAAGTACGAGTCTCGAGTCCAGAGGAGGCTAAGGATCCGGATCATAAAACGTTACAGACAATGCATATTTATACAGTTAGGTTCAATAAGAAACAACATTGAATTACATGACATCGATACTTTGGATGACCAATAGGAATCGATCAGTAGAGTAAGACATACAAATAATTCTCTTCGGATATTGCATGAATATCCTAACAATGGGACTCATCATCAGCAATGCATATGCTAGACTACGCGAGCGCGAATCCATCCGATGACCAGTTTTTCGCTCGGACGCATAACCTCTAAACTATTGCGCCGTCATCCAACAGTAATAATGTCTAACTTCAATCAGTCCACGATATGGCGTGACTTCACCCATTGTCTTCGGTGTATAATTGCCTTAAATCCGATACAGTTGAACTCCACGCCTTCTCGCGAAAAAACCCCTTGAATTTCCTCACGATGCTAGTCACCAGTGGGCACATGATATTTGGCATTGTACGATTGTAGAGATTGTGTAGATTTCATTGAATTATATATTAGGCCGAAATGTTCATCAAGTGCACGTGTGTTAGTATCCCAGCCCATTCATCTCCTTATAAAATATGTTGAATGACATTAAACTTGATTCAGTAGTCGTCTCTAGTAATTTCTTTGGAATGTCATGTCATCATAACGGCATACTTGAAATCAATTCTTCCTAACATTTCATATTTAGCTCTTATCAATTCTGTTGTAGTTCAACAGATATAACTCGCCTAAATATTAAATATGAAATGGAACGAGGGAATTACGATTCATGATTCATTCATGATCATTGTCATTATTGGATCGAATTTTTCCTTGTTGAAGAAACAACTTACACAAAGTGGCGATAAAGTGAGGTATTTTTTTGAAATCATGCGTCTATGAATATTAGACCATCATTAGAAACCTGTAAGCACTGATAACATGGCCGTTTCATCTTGGCATGGGACTCATCAGTGCCAGTGCGCATCCATAACTCCCGCTTCTAACACGATTCAAACCTAGGACCTTCGATCTTGTGCGGTGTCTTTGGTGAGCATTGTTTCACACTCGAGTAGTGTTGAACTCCACTTCTCACTAGAACTCAGAGGTTGCGCTGGTTGATCGGAGTTCTACACTGTCAAATGCCGGCTAGATGGTCCATCCCGACTGTAGCTGCTACCTTGACGTGGTGGTCGGGCTTGACTATCGTGATGACCCAACCGAGCTATACTGGCTGGAACATATGTTCCTGCAGGTCCTACCATGCCAGGCAGGTCGATTGGAGAACGATGAGACTAAAAGCAGCTACCCAAGGTCTGAGAGCGAAATCGAACTGCTGACTGTAGAGGGGTGTGACAGCAGTAAGGTGTTTCCCTCGGACAACCAGCATCTGCAGCGACGCTGCCTTCTCGCAACAAAGGAAGGGATTAGAAAAGGTCGACCCTTAAAATGTCACATCTCACCCTACCTCACGGATTTCCGTCTCCAGCGGCAAGGGTGCCCACTAAGGGCTTTCACGAGCGGAGCTAACACTCAAAAAACTTCTCATAAAAAGGCCGTGTGTGACCGGCCTCATTCAGTTGTCGCTTGGGCTCTGTGGTCACGCACCCAGGTTTCTATGACCAACGCTAATACACCTTCCTTTTCAGGTCCCTCAAGAAACAACCTTCGACGGTGTGGGCAGCCGGGAAGTGATAACCGCCCTCATACCCGTAACAGCACACGAGACCAAATTGGTCAAAATCAAATCCTTCCTACCCGTAACAGATGGTCCAGATGTTAAGCGTTCGCGCGCAAGACCGAAGCTCCTTGGTTCGACTCGTGGGCGTAGTGGGAGTCGTGGATTGCGCACTGCCTTTATGAGTTCCATCACAGGATGAAACGGCCATTTATCAGTGCTTCCATGATTCTAATAGTGGTATTAGATTGATCGATTCATGATTTCAATAAAGGAACTCAACAATCTCCATAACCCCGTCCCCCGCCCGATAATACAAACTGAGATTATTACAAAAGTGTCTTATTGATCTATTTATATGTTGATTTATTCACTTTCTATATCTGTTATCCTTTTTTTTCTCACCTTTTTTACTCCCTCTATCGTTCATTTTGTTTGTTTTATTCTGTTTTATTCTCTTCAAATTCAAAAGGAAATCTTGGCTATTGTTATGTATCAAACTTATTTCAATCAATCCGTCGATAAGATGTGAATTCATTAAAAAAATGTTTCTTACATCACCGGATCAAATTAGATTTTTACAATTTCAATGTCCTTATCCTGAAGTATGTGTTAGTTAGTTAGTTAAATTGATATTATGGCAATAATGATTATTATTATTATTACTGTTCTTTTTTGACTATTGTTATTAGTACTATTTTTATGACTGTTGTTGTGTAACGCTTGCTTACATATAATTCCCGGCTAATTCCCAGCTTGCTTAGTATTCTCTGACCTCACAATACACTACTGGACAAGTTCCAAAGAAATCAAAAACACGGTGGAACAGGAAAAGATTATATTCCAAATCGAAATATGGAGGCGAAGGCAAAAATAGATACAACGTTAGTTTATTTATAGTATTTACATGAGAAGCTTTTGGATAGTAATTCACGTGATCGACTGGATCAGATTTAACCAATCAGCGTGCAGCTAACAACATGAGAATTTTCTATCCTGTTCTCTAACAATCGATCAGGCGCTGATTGGATAGGAGATTAGCCAATCAGCGCGCAGCAACGTAGTTATGCTTTAATTCAATCTATGTCCGACTAATAACTGTAAGTATTGATTTGTTAACAATACGCATTTGTAGATCGGTAGGAATTGTTTTGTGTTGTGTTGTGTTACATTCTATGGATAAGATTTGAAGACATAGTTTACGTTTCAAACTGAAAATGAGAAACTAACGACAAGACAGTCGGTTTACCATTACAGTATGGCTAACCTCACCAATTCACACACTCCAACGAGCAACGAATTTGTGATCTTTAAATCTTTCAGTCAACTCTTGTAATCTTTTAGTGTCTAAGTCGGCATCCACTCAATTCGCGATAATGTGCTGCTTTATGGAAGACGAATTCTCTCACCTCCCTCGCCCCGATTGTACAGTGAATATCAACTACCCGAGAAGTTTCACTTTAAGATGAAACAACTATCCAGAATGTTCTGGTTTTGCAATAGCCGTTTAATTAGAATGAAATGTACAGAAAAACTAGGAAAGCACAACAGTCTTTATAATTTTTTTTTCACTGTAAGAAAAGAATGATCTGTTGGTTGGATATGATGTCATTAACGGACTAAAGTCACTGACAAGTGGACTAAATCATGTCGGTGGGTGTTGACTTCTTGGTTGGGGTCCGCGAAAAGATAATAATCGATGGTTAGAGACCCTGAATGACCTGGCTGAAAACCGTTTGCAATGGCGCAAGGGCATTCATTCTTTGTGTTCTCTCAAATGCTAAACTTTTTTATTCCTCATCACTTTATCTTTTTAAGTCTATTTCACTACATTTTACTTCTTGAATAATATCCTCAAATCCTAATCTCTCCGATTACTGCTAATACCTTTCTACCTCTACTACTATGGGATATGAATTGACAATTACATCTCCGTTCTAATATGATATGGCAACATGAACTGATGTACGTACTTACGTACGTAGTTTTACGTTGCTATTAATTGATTGATTGAAACAAGGGCAACTTACAACAACTGCCAACCAACAGCAAAGTCAAAAATTTTCAATACGAACGTCATAACGATTAAATTGTATGAAGTGTTAAACTTGAAGAACAGTTGTCTATGCAAAATACTTCAGATCCTCTGGCCATTCACCATCAGCAACAACCTATTGCGCGACAGAACAAACCAAACTCCTCTAGCTGAGGAAGAAATCGGAAGTAAGCATTGTATGTGGATAGGATATAGATTGAGGAAAGCGCCGAACTGCATCACAAAACTAGTCCTCACTTGGAATCTTCAAGGCTAAGGGAAAAGTCAAAGACCAAAGAACACACACTGCGCCCAGAATCGGAAGCATGATTAATGAAGAATGAACAGCAGTTGTATAGAACTGAAACGAAAGTCTCGGGACAGAGTAAGTTGGAGAATACTCATTGTCGGCCTATCCTCCATTGGAGATAACAGACGTAAGTAAGTAACGTACGCAGAAATTAAAGCACCTAACTGCATCACGAGACAAGCCCTTACATGGAACCCTCAATGCAAAAGGAAAAGAGGAAGGCCAAGGAACACATTACGCCGAGAAATAGAGAAAGATATGAGAGGAATGAACAAACAAACATTGGACAGAACTGGAGAGGGAAGCCCAGGACAGAGTTGGTTGGAGAAAACTGGTGCCGGCGGCCTATGCTCCATTGGGGGTAACAGACGTAAGTAAGTAAGTAAGTAAGTAAGTAATATGTATACACAGAGTTTGTTTGTCTTTTTCACAGAATATGTATTTATGTATGTTTATCTGTTTGTGAATTTTTCCTCTTTTCAGATACGATTTTTCAGTGCTGTTTTAATTATTTACGTTTGTCATTTATGTATGAAAGATCCATCGGTACAATGTGAAGATATTCTACAACCGTTTATATTATTAGTTAATAATCCTACTACCACCACTCCCGCTAAAACTCATGCCACATCAAGCGGTGGCGACAACACTGTTCATGGTAATCCTAGTGCATTTACTCCAGAGTGTACACCATCAACCAGTACTACCTCTCCAACTACTACTGCTACTGCTACCACCTCGCTAAATAATGTTGTGACTGCCAATAATACTTCAACGACAATCACTACTACGTCTACTGCTACTACGACTACCGCGAGTATTTTATCTTATTTACTCAAATCTTCATCGGATCAAACAAACTCATCATCATCATCACCAATATTTGTAGATCATAATTCCTCAACAGATTCATCATCCTCATCAGCACAAATGTTGACTGCAAGAATATTTTCTGCTACATGTTTTATTAATCGTTTAATTAATCTACCTCGTAAATTGTATCCACCTCATTCATCAATACAAAATGATCGGACAAACAATAGTAATACTACTAATAATAGTAATAGTAGTTTATTACCGAGTCAATTGATTAATCCAGGTGAATGTTTAATACAATTCATCATACATCAATTACATTTCTCGCCAAATACATTCTCATCGCCGTCGCCATCATCGAATAAATCTTTTCAACAGCAACATCAGTCGTATTCAGCACAACGTCCAGGAAATCCTTCATCATCGACACCGTCAGCATCATCATCGTCTGCATTGTATCATCAATCTACTAGTTTTGCCAGTAACACTAGTAATAGTAATAATATCAATAATAATTCATATTCTCTGTCATCAACGGCATCAACTATTTGTCCACCGCCATCCTCTGTGATTTGGGCACAATATTTTGCTATTCTATTAGATTTTGCTAATTATGGTCAAGAAGAATGTTGTTATTTGTTGAAATTACATGTTCCGGAAATTTTAATCAAGTATGTAATTGTGTTTTTTTTATGATGAGATTGAATAGAATAGATCAATAAATAAGGTTTATTCATTGAAATTATGAATCAGATCCATGGTAGGCCAGCATTTTAGAAGCCTGGAAGCATTGAAAGACTGTCGTTTCGTCCTGGTATGGGACTCATCAGTGGTAGTGCGCATTCATGACTCCTGTACGTTGCAAGGTTTGAACCCAGGATCGAAGTTAGACATGAACACTGTTAGATACCGGCTCAGTGGTCCAGAGGTTAGGCGTTCATGTGCAAGATCGAAGGTTCTGGGTTCGAATCCTGCAGGGTGCAGGAGTCGTGGATGTGCACTACTGATGGTTGCCATGCTAGGACGAAACGGCCGTCCAGTGCTTCCAGGTTACTAATGGTGGTTTAACAATGATTGATTTGTGATTTCAATGAGTAACTTGACAATCTCCACAACCCCGTATTGTAATTATACTTTTTTGTTGTTTGAGAGTTATGTAATAAAATAGGATTGGCAATGCTGTTGTTACTGTTTGACGACGAATCAGCTGGAGTGTATATTTATAACCAGTAGGATCGAGTGACCTTTGCATTATTTATTGATACATCATTGACTAATGGAAAACACCTCGTGAGACCTTGACAGTAGTTGTTCGGCTTTGACGTTCTTTTAACCCAGTGGCCTATACGACGATGAGGATAGAATGTAGACTAGTTTTTTGTGTTGTAATCCAGTCGATCGTGATTCAACACTTGTAGAATACTACACCTGAAATAGCAGTACAAATAAGAATTACAACAATTTAATCATAAGTAATACAAAGGTGAACTAATTGATCAATGACAAGTGTGATATTATATAACAACGATGGGTAGGTGGTGAAATGAAGGTTTAGAATTAGGTAAAAACTAAAAATCGGACAGTGGTAGCGTTTACTAACTATACAACTAAAGAAATAATAATCTAATTCAATGGTTTAGATAATTCCGCTGTTGATATTTTGACTGAAATTTGATCAGTGTTTGTTGGGATATTATGGCCATCCTATGCGGATTACATCGATATAGCCATGATGATACAAGTCTAATGGATAGGAATGTGTCTTGCGTTGAAATCCACGATGCACATTTCTTCGTGTTTGGGACTTGTCAGTTGAATTTATCTGCATCGTAGATATGACATGAACTCCGGGGCTCGAACCCAGTACCGTCCTGTTTGAATGCCGTCGCGTTATCCACTACTAGATACATTCTATTCATTCTATAGAAATAATAATCGGTTGTAAAATCAATCCAAAATTACATAAGGTAATCATGCTAGACATATTTATCGTTATTTTGGTGATTCCTGTACATTAGTACAATTTTTGGCATTTTTTTATAGTATATGCGAATATGGTATCAGTCAGTCAGCTACAACGTAGAACTTCGTACGTAAGTACATCAGTCCAGGTTGCCATACCATATTAGCAAACAGAGACGCAATCGTCAGTGTAAATCACATAGCGGTAGAGATAGTAGAAGAATTACTGCTAGTGGAAAAGATTAGGGTTCGAAAATATGATTCGGGAAGTATCATTCAGTGAAATAACTTTAGCAAGAGAAAGATAAAGGTCATGAGGAATCCACATTAAAATTTGTGAGACGACTAAGAGTAGAAGCACTTGTGCCACTGCAAACGATTTTGAGCCATGTCGTTAAAAGTCTCTAACCATCGGTCACTGTCGTCTTGCGGACCCCAACCTGGTGGTAGTCTACATCTACCATCTATATGCCGATGACATATTCCTACTTGGTGAAGACGCTGACAAAATGCAGAGTCTTCGGACTATCCTAAGCAACAATGCAAGCATGTTCAAGATGCGGTTCTCACCCTTGAAATGCAAAATGTTGCTTCAAGATTGGGTTGCGTCGGCACCTGAACTAGTGATAAGGAGTGAAGTAGTTGAGTGTGTAGACCGCTTCACTTATCTTGGGAGTCTCATCAGTGCTGATGGCCTGGTGACTGACGAAATCTCAGCTCGGATACAGAAGGCTCGATTGGCTTTTGCCAACCTGCGTCACCTATGGCGCAGGCGAGATATACGTTTCCGGACTAAAGGACGGGTGTACTGTGCGGCAGTTCGCTCCGTCCTACTGTACGGTTGCGATACTTGGCCGTTAAGAGTAGAGGACTTCCTTAGGTTGCTAGTCTTCCATCATCGATGTCTCCGAAGCATTGCTCGTGTATCCTGGGTCAACCGTATAAGCAATGCTGTCATTGGGAAACGAGTTCTCGGTAGGGGCGGCAAATCAATAGATGAAGTAGTGAAACTTCATCATTTGAGGTGGTTGGGACATGTGTTACGTATGCCTAACCGACTGACTGGTAGATGTAGGCTATCTGGTTGGGGTCCGCGAGACGAAAGTCACCAATGGTTAGACACCTTGAATGACATGGCTCAGAATCGTTTGCAATGGCGCAGGTTCGTCCACTCTTAGTGTTCTCCCTAATTCTAACCTTCTGCATTCCTCATAATCTCTATCTTTCTCTTTACAAATTCATCTCACTGAATTATACTTTTCGAATCATAATTTTGCTCCCTAATCTTCCCCATTGCTGCTAATACTTTTAATATCGCTATCACTCTTGGATTTGAACTGACAGTTACGTCTCTGTACTGACGTGGTATAGCAACCTGAACTAATGTACTTATGTACGAAGTTCTGCGTTGTATCTGTCTGTCTATCAACGCTTCGTCTTCTAATCTATACACTATCAGACGTTATCTAGTAACGATTATCAGGATGAGCGTTATGCAAAGTTTAGGAATTACATCAAATATCGACCACCGCAGAACTGGCGAGTCCACATCCATTACAGAATTGATTAGTCCGACATCCACTATATAACACAGTTCACATAAATTGGTGAGCCTTGGACTTTCGAAAATACAACGCACCTACATTGATTGTTGAATAAAACAGAGATAATTGCATTGAAAATACTATTGACGTTTATTTTTTCTACTGTGATGCTTGCATTTTAGTTATATGCTATCATATGAAGTAATGCTAACAACTGTTAGTGGTGGTTGTGGTACTTCAGCGACGACAACATCATTGCCAAATACTCTTTCCACTTTACTTACCACTACTCCTATTACTACTACTCCTGCTACTACTACTACTGGCCGAAATCATGAATCACACAATTATCATTCTATACAAACTATTGTTAAACAGTTATATAATGAATTATCAATGGAAATTCAATTAGCTAATTGTACAAATTTATCTGTTTCATCAAGTTTAAATGCATTCATCTATGCACTGTTCACTGCATCGCCATCATCCTCATCATCGTCATCATCGATTACGGCCGCTGGTGTATCAAATGTACACTTTGATTTTCAGCATAAATATGATGATTGCAACGATACGGTCATCAATAATGAACAGAATCATCATCAACATCATCATGAGAATACTGCTACTACTCCTACTCCTACCAGTACAACTATTATGTATTGTGGTTTGAAATGCTTACTCGATTTGCTATCCTATTTAATTAGATCATGTGAAATTCCATCGCAATATCTTCATTTCTCATCCATATCGACATCGACACCGTCCTCGTCATCGTCGTCATCGACATCCACTTGTCTTTCATTAGCATCCTCATCCTCATCGTCATCGTCATCGTTCACTTCAGTGATTTCGTCGACTACTGCTACCCCTACTCCTACTACTACTACTACTGCTACTGCTACTAGTACATGTCAATTCAATGCAACAATCAAACATTCTAAATCAAATGAAACTTTTCCAATTGCTAGTGATCATCATAAACCAGTGAATCAATTAATCAATCCTTATTGTGCCACCACAGCTAAACCATTGATTACACTGTCCAATACTTTAGCTCAATTATTTTTATCTGATCATCAAACAGAACGTATTCTTATTGTTATGAAACGATTAACTGGTTCATTGTTGAATTCAATTACATTGAAGCCAATTTCAGATATATTTTTGGTGAGTATTTGAATAGTTTAATAACAATATATCATTCTCCCTTTTTGTGCATACCAGTCCTGACCGTTGTTGTTGCCTTGACGTAGTGGTCGGGCTTGTCTATGTCCCTGAAGGTCTGACGGAGAAGTTGTACTGTTGACTGTGATGGAAGGGTGTGACAGCAATAAGGTGTTTTCCTCGGACAACCAGTATCTGCAGCGATGCTGCCCTCTCACGAGGAAGGAAGGGGTTAGAAAAGGTAGATTCACAGATTTCCGTCTCCGGCGGTAAGGCCATGAAAGCTTCCCATAAAAAGTCCGTACGTGACCGGCCTGAAGCAGTTGTCCCCCGGGCGCTGCAGTTACGCTCCCAGGTCTCTAAGACCAATACTAATCAAACTTCTGTTTTAGGTTTCTCAAGAAATACCCTTCCATGTTGTGGGCAGCCGGGAAGTAACATCCGCCCTCATACCCGTTACGGCACACGAGAGCAAATCAGTCACAATCAAATCCTTCCTACACTTATTAATAATTCTCTTATCACCACGATCAGCCCTTCTTTTAATCCTTTGTCACCTTGTGTCGCTAATGCTTACGTTTTGAATTCACCAAAACATATATCCAGGTCTCCTGAAACCCCGTTCGAAACTAAATGTTGGAGCTTTTAATGTTGTTTGTATACAGTGTTTATGATATACAGTGCATAGTTTCGTTGATAAATGCGTTGTAAAAGTCATCAGTAAATAGCATTTTCATTGTATGTTTATCTATCTCAAATGCCTTTTTATTTAATATTTGATCAGAAAATTAAAAAATTAAGTTACTAATCTATTTTTCAAATATGAGGCCATTATAAGTCAAATGCATATAGAGTAGATAGAATATGGCTAGCAAGTGTTCGTTAGCTAGATGTACTTACATCTCAGAGTTGATATTCATTCTAAAACTTGGATCTAGTACGATTCGCATCAAATATCAACTCTAAGATGCACGAACATTATCTAGCTGATGTGTCCCAAATTGGGAAGAAACATATGTGTTAGCCAAATTCTAGTAGTAGACTGGCTGCAAAATTTGCAGATCCTAGATATGATCAAATTTGCATAGATGAAGGCTTTCAAATTAGAACATAACCTATGTCCTAGTCTTCCAATTTTCCATGTTTCTTCAGTCGATATCTGTTAATAACTACAATCCTCTTCAAATGATATGTATGCTCGCATTTACTGATAAAAGTTATCATTACAACACGTTGGAAAATTACAAGAGATATGTGTTTTATTTCCCATTGTTCACGTTTGTTTAACTGCAATCGATCAGTATCTGCATCTTAGGTCAGTCAGTTAGTCAGTCAGTTACAACGTAGAACTTCGTACGTAAGTACATCAGTTCAGGTTGATATACTGCATTAGCACAGAGAGATGCAATTGTCAATCCAAGTCCCATAGTGGTAGAGATAGTAAAAGTACCACTGGTAATCGAAAAGATTAGGGTTTCAAGATATTATTATTCAAAAAGTATTATTCAGTGAGATAAGTTTATAAAGAGAAAGATAGAGATGTCGACGAATTCAGAAGATTAGAATTTCAAAGTACAGAAAGAGTGGATGCACCTGCACCATTGCAAACGATTTTCAGCCATGCCGTCCAAGGTCTTTTACCATCGGTTACTATCGTCTCGCGGATCCCAACCAGGTAACCTACATCTACCAACTTGACTCAGTCCACTTGTCAGTGAATTCATGGATTCGTGCCATGTTTTGGTTTAACCGTCCCTATCTTTCTTCCAACCTACTCCTACATCACAAAACATGGTGAGTAGGCATACGTAACACGTATCTCAACCACCTTAACTTATAAAGTTTCAATACTTCATCTACTGATCTGCCATCCCTACCTAATACTCGTTTCCTAACGACAGCGTTGCTTAATCGGTTGTCCCAGGGTATACGAACAATGCTTCGAAGACATCTTTAATCGAATACTTTGTTTATGTTGAACTCCCTACACCGTAAAACATCGCTCGCATCTTGTGTGGATAAACGTGTCACAGAATCTATGTATTCATTGACAACTGGACTGAGCCATCTTAAAAGGTGTAGACTACCTTGTTTGGGGTCTGCGAGACGATAGTAACCGATCGTTAGAGACCTTGAACGACATGGCTCAAAATCGTTTGCAATGGCACAGGTACATCCATTCTTTGTATTCTCTCAAATTCTAGTCCTCTGAATTCATCATCACCTTTATCTTTTTCTTTTTAAGTTTATTCAAGTCGGTTATACTTCTCGAATCATATCTTCGAACCCTAATCTTCTCCATTACCAGTAATACTTCTACTATCTCTACCACTATTAGATTTGAACTGACAGTTGCGTCTCGATGCTAATGCGGTTTGGCAACCTGAACTAATGTACATACGTACCTAGTTATACTCTATAACTGACTGATTATTAGGCGGATTGTTTCAACAGAATATTTCAAGTTTTTATTAGTTTGTCTGATATGTATGTAACACAATGACTGTTGGGGACGTTAGATCCCCCAGAAATCACTTGATAAATGCCTTGATTTGGATTTCACGTTTGCGAGCATAAGCTGATCAGTGGACCTTGAGATTTCATTTCTCACCAGTAAAAATCCTTGGCTGTGATTGGCTGGTGTGTATTTTAGTGTGCTATTTCTGTGACTGTCCCAAGGACGTTTCTATGATGTATAAATAAACAAGATTTGTGTGCTTGATTGTATTGTGCTTGCTGAGTGTTTGTAGAATATATTTTCCACGCTTATCAAGACTTCTCTTTTGCCGTCTTCGGATCAAGGTAGCCTACCTGGACGCTGGTTCATTGTCTCGTTCGCGTTTATCGACTAGGGTGAACTCGTTATAGTTTCAAGAATACCTAGTGATCGAACCTAACAATGATATAACGCTAAAATTGAGTTGATCCACTTAGCTTTCATCTATCATCACAGCAACTAATCAATTACAGTTTAGCATATCAACAACAACGGGAACTTACAAATCCTCACGGATAACCTGCTTATCTGTTGAACCGATTGTAGTGCCTCCACATATATTCGAGTTCGCTTATAGTTAATTTGGTTAAGCCCTTTCGATTAATTTATTTAACCGAGCCAATTCGTATAGCAACAATTTATATGTACCATTCGTTCTTATGTTATTGTCTGGTTTGTATGATGAACTCACATGACATGTCCCACTTGTCATTTGACCTTGTCAACCATTCGTCACTCTTATTCATGTGTGTGCATGCCTATCTCGTTGATCACATGTCTGTCTTACATTTGTCTGACTATGTATTCTTAGTCATGCTCTCTATCTCTTGGAGTTAACTCAACAGCCTTCTCCACATCGCTTCCTTCGCCCATTCGTTTGCATTGTAATCCTAGGAGTTGTTGGCTCATTAGCCTTCTCCAATTCACGTCGCTTATTTCATTTTATTCGCTGTTTCTCCGCTTCGCTTTGCGGTGTGTCCCAAATAAACGTATTCAACACTTTGTGTTCACCTTCTGATATATAAACCGTCAGACGCTAGTTAGTAACGATTGTCTAGATGAGCTAATCACAAAAGATTAAGAGCACGCAGTAAATCGACACACTACACGGTTATTAACTATCTGCACTAGGAAGTTCACTGGATAACCCATATATGTATATAATATGAAGTGAGAAGTATTCTGCACTCGTATCACAAGGCAAACTACGCAAACACAGCAGTGATAGATAGTGACATATTTTCTCTTTGTGACAATTTACAAATCAAATCGAACGCCCACATTTTCAATTGCATAATTAATTATCGTTAATTTATTTTTCCCTTCTCTCCTCTTTTTTTACTTTGTGATATAGTTCTTTTCATATGAAAATTTGAAATTTTCTGATCTTATCCTCAGGGAATTAATTTATTGCATTCTGCATCCTTGTGATTTAGATAGTGTATTAAAATTGTTAGAATGTCTACTACAAATAACTGATTCATTGAAATCAATACGTATATGTCTTTTGTTTAAATGTAAGTTGTTTATTTGAAATGATAATCATTTCTGTATTATCCATATTGTTATTATTACTGTTTCATGAAAGTCGGTTGAATACTTTTTTCTAACTTTGTGAATAATATACCTCTCAATTTCTTCACAGTGTTGAAGAATATTTCATATTGTACCGTGACTGTGTAGCTGCTACCTTGATGTGGTGGTCGGGCTTGCCTATCGTGATGATCCAACCGAGCTGGAATATATGTTCCTGTAGGTGCTACCCATGCCAGACAGGTTGATTAGAGAACGGTGAGACTAAAAGTTCTAAGGTCGGAGTTGTACTGCTGACTGTAGAGGGGTGTGACAGTAGTTGGGTGTTTCCCTCAGACAACCAGCATCTGCAGCGATGCTTCCTACTCACAAGGAAGGAAGGAAAGGTTAGAAAAGGTTGACCCTTAAAATAATGTCACACCTCACCCTGCTCTCTGATGTAATGATAGTGACTTTGATCCTCAAGTTGATATACTAAGCGAAATGGAAAGAATCCTAGGTGGATCGTATGGTGTCGTGGCTCAACGAACAGTTAATGACGACGGTCTGGTACAGCTAAGCTGGGATAACCGCCTATTTCTAGCAAATACAAGGTGACTCGAAATCGACCCGACGATGGACCCAACAAGATCATATCGCTGTTAGCGACAGATGGAGGGATTCTATAGAGGACTGTTGCTCGTTCTCCAGCACATGCTCAGATTCAGATTTCAAATTTACTTCACTAGATTATACTCCTTGAATAACATCCTCAAACCTTAATCTTTCCGATTACTGCGTCTCGGTGCCAATGTGATATGGCAACTTGGACCGATTTAGGTACGTACGAAGTTCAACATTGTCAGTGACTGACTCATATTGTACAATCTAAATCAAAAACTATACTAGTATTGACCGTCTTGTCATTTAATAATAGTATAATTAGATTACATTTGACTGACTGATATGATATTGAACATTTTTTACAATCAAATGAGAGTTGTTTGTTTTGCTTTTTTCTCCGTTCAAGATTGAACTGTTTTTATCTTCAAATGATGTAAACTATTCAAGGTGGGGGGAAGTGGTCTTCAAACTACATTCTAGAAAAATTTTCAACCTATCCCCACATTCAATTCAACTTCAATATAGACAATTAAGCATTAATTCTAAGAGTTTGGCTGACTGACTGACTGATGTTAAAATATGTAGCGTTAAGTAATATGAGAAATTAGACTGTAGTTCTGAGTCGGGTTGTGAGAGAATATTATCCTAACTTCACTAAACACTCTTGACTGCGTATTAATTTATTCTGGATAAGTTATTCTGTCATTAAATCAATCATCGTTTGATTGCTTTCCCATTATAAGTTCTATGATGACCAGAAATATATTATATTCATACATTATTTATTCTCTCAAAATCCTGTAGCCCATATGTACATGTTGGGTACATTAGATCCCTAGAACTCACTTGGTAAATGTCTTAATTTTGGATTTTATTCATTGGCTGATCAGTTGACCTTGAGATTACATTTCCCACCAGGAAAATCCTTGACTGTCATAGGTTGATGTATTCGATGTATTTTAGTACGCTATTGTTGTGTCTCTCCCTGTGGACGTTTCTATCATGTCTAAATAAACGCGATTTATGAACTTGAGATCATTGTATTTTCTGGTTGCTTGTAGTAGAATACACTTTCTACGCTATATCAAGACTCTTTCTTCAGTTAGTTGGGGCAACAGATCAGAGTAGCCTATCATGTCACCAGTTCACTGTCTCATTCTCGTTTATCGACTAAAGTGAACTCGTAATAGTTTCAAGCATATCAAGTGACAAGCACAACAGTACAATTTTTGTCATCTCCTGTGTAGATGAATGCTCCATAATCACCAGCTTGATTTAAACCCTTGCCAGATTGTCACATTTTTGTCCTCTCAAATTGACAACGACTACCTACCTGTACCACCCACACACAGGAAGGCAATAAGTAAGGCGGTCACTGAAAGGAATGGCTATAAACGCGTAGCATTTACAAAAGCGAATCATTCTTTGTTCACTCTCTCAACAAGTGCATTTCAGAGAGAGATAGAGAGAGAGCATGATTATAATTGAATTTAATAAAAGTATTTGTTACACCTGCACGTAAACACGTCAACTTGATATACATGAACTATTACGAGTTTACGCAGTCGGAAAACGAGAGCGAGGATCCGGCGACACGACATACTACTCAAATCCGATTATCCCAATCCCCATATTGAGTAAAAATAAGAAGACTTGATATGAAGTAGAACATGTATTCTTCAAGCGTCTAGAAATTACGAGGTCCGAATCCAGAAGAGAATCATGATCCCGGACTAGGGATACGGGACCTGGTCGTGGTCATAAAATGCGTATTTATACATTTTGGTCGAATAGGAAACAGCATCGAATTCTGTGACATTGACAGTTAAGACGACCAATAGGAAGCAACATTTGAAGTGACACTGATAGTTAGGACAACCAATAAGAAACAAAATTGGTTCACGTGACATTGTTATCTAGGACGACCATAAAATTGACCAGTACGAATTAACCAATAGGAATTGACCAATAATTCTCTTAGGATATTGGATGAATATCTTAACAGTATTATTATTTCACTCACATTGTATATAATATCACATATTTCTTGGTGTGTTTCTTCAATTCTTTCTTTTAATTTAATTTTAATTTTCGGCATTTTTTTTGTTTTTTTTTCATTTGATATTAAAGATTCCAATGATGCTAATTTATTTAAATTATTAAATTCCAATTTTATTTATGAATCAAATATGGCAGCATATCATGTATTCAACTTATACATTAATTTATTGCTAACTGATACAACAATTGTAATGAATTATTTATCAAATGAAATTTATTTAATGAAATTATTCAATGAAGTAAGTGTTATGAATGAATGAACGAATGTGGAATAGTGTTTATTGAATTCATGATAATGAAATGAATATCAGTTGTACTTGTGTGTAGTGTAGTAGTGTAGTGTTGTAATTAGCGTTTTAGTGTGTTCATTTCCTACGAGTTGAAGTCGCTAACTCTTATGCCCCCAACCCCTCCTCCTTTATATCTGGGCTTGGAACCGGTGGAGTTGCCCTAGAAGGGGCTCCAGTTGGAGTTATTATTATTATTGTTATTATTATTTGCTGTTACGGGTAGCATTGCTCGTGTAACCTAGGTGTACCGAGTAAGCGATGCTGTATTTAGGGATAACAAATCAATAGATGAAGTATTGAAACTTCATCAGTTGAGGTGGTTGGGACATGTGTTACGTATGCCTAACCACCGACTCTGTCGTCGAGCTATGTTTTGTGGTGTAGGAATAGGTTGGAAGAAAGCTAGGGGTGTCCAAACCAAAACACAGCACAAATCCATGAAGTCAGTGACAAGTGGGTTGAGTCATGTTGGTAGATGTAGACTACCTGGTTGGGGTCTGCGAGACGACAGTAACCAATGGTAAAAGACCTTGAACGACATGGCTCAGAATCGTTTGTAACGGTGTATGTGCATCCACTCTTTGTGTTCTCCCTAATTCTAACCTTCTGAATTCCTCATCACCTCCACTTTTGTCTTTCTAAGGTTATCTCACTGAATTATACTTCTTGAATAATATCTTCAAATCCTACTCTTCTCCATTAACAGTAATTCTTCTACTATCTCTACTACTATGGGATTTGAACTGACAATTTGGTCTCCGTGCTAATACGGTATAGCAACCAGAACTGATGTACTTTTGTACGAAGTTCTACGTTATAACTGACTGACTGACTGTAGGTTGTTGGTTTTCGATCAAAGGTGTCCCTGAATTACATGGCTCGAAACCGTTTGCGATGGAGTAGGTGAATTCATTCTTTATGTTCGCTCAAGTCCTAAGCTGAATTCCTCATCACCTTTATCTTTTTCTTCTTTAGTTTATTTGACTAGTTTCTACTTCTTGAATAATATCCTCGAACCCTAATCTCTCCGATTACTGCTAATACTTTTACTACCTCTACTGCTATGGGATTTGAATTGACAATTATATCTCTTTGTTAATGTGATATGGCAACTTAAACTGATGTACGTATGTACGTACGTTCGTACGAAGTTCGACGTTGTTGTTGATTGATTGGTTGATTGACTGATTGAAGTAATTTTGAAGTCACTTGAACACAAAAACGAAATCTCCTATATAATGAAATTCATACTTTCAAATGACTTGCATTTTACAAATGAGAGTACGCTTAAAACTATGCTTATTGTCAATATTATTGAACCTTGAATAATGACATGATACTAACAAACAAACAAGCAGGCTCAATGGCTCAATGAGTGATATACGTTGTATTCTTGATGATTATAGTCGACATCAGTACCATTCACTAGACTATAAATTTGATTTTTTTATTCAACTGATAGTTTCGTCAACATTGTGGAAGGACAGTGTTCTTGAGAAAATATTTTTCAAAAGTCGATTAGTACATTTCTGCCTCACACACTCACACACATACTGAAATCACTTTTTAGAAACAAAACCTGTGTAAATCATTACGATGAGTTATCATTTTTACACATTGAAATTATGAATCGATCACTGTTAGACCACCATTGGACAGAAACCTGGGAACACTGAAAGACGGCGCTTTCGTCCTGCCTAGTATGGGACTATTCATCAGTGGCAGTGTGCATCCCTGTCTCCTACCACTAGCAGGATTCAAACCCGGGAGCTTCGATCTTGTGCGCGAATGTCTAACCTCTGGATCACTGGGCTGGCATCTATCTACATTTCCAAATATTATTTATCTTCATGTAAATGATATTAATCTTCCTTTTATTATCACCATAGATCTATTTCTACAGATTAAGTTGTGTCTATTGTGTTGTTTCCTCTCTATATACAATTGGAACGGTTATCTCGTGAAATTTTGTCTCAAACATTTAAGAACATCGAAACTATACAGAAAAAATGTCTAATCATTTTATAGAACTTGCATAACACTCCACTATATGAATCAATGAATAGCTGAAGATTTACCATCCACATTGTGAAATCTTACTCGCAACATACTTTCTAAGTAGTGTGTATGCAGTCTAATATTGTTCAGAAGTTATATTACTGCTGAGATAAGTGTCGAATCACGGAATCAATCAGTCAGTCATTTAGCTGCAATGTAGAACATTGTGCGTATATACATACATTAGTTCACGTTGTCATATCACGTTTCCACAGACATCGATAGTTTGACATATTCGCGCCTGCTTGGTACAATTAAAGTGTATTGACTATTAAAAGAAATCTGGAAGAAACTAGTTAATACATTTGAAATCATCAATCAATCATTGTTAGACCACCATTAGAAACCTGGAAGCACTGAAAAACGGCTGTTTCGTCCTGGTATGGGACTCATCAACAGTGCGCATCCATGACTCCTGCTCCTCGCAGGATTCAAACTCGGGACCTTCGGTATTGTGCACGAACGCCCAACCATCGGACCACTGGGCCGGCATCCAACGGTGTTAATGTCTGACTCTGATTGATCTACGGATTTGGCGCGACCTCACCCATTTGTCTTTGGTAATTACTGCCTACCCCCTACAGGGTTGAACTTCATTTGTCACGTCTTCTCAACTAGAACTCCGAGAATTTCCTCACAAAGAAGCTAGTCACTAGTGAGCACTGTTACAATATTTTGGGGTAGAGTTAGATTGATGATTTCAAATGTGTAAAAAACACAAACCTCCAAAACTCTGCCCGAAAAACCTAGTTAATAATTTACTATTTTTGTTAATGAAATTCTAAAGATTAGGTGTATATACTTGTTTTATTTTTCTTAGTAGTAGACTCTGTTTTCTTCTATAAAATATATCATTATTTTTCATTATGATCTGAAAGTTTTCACTGATTGATTATTAACGCTATACCAGCATTCGCGATAGAGAAGAAAATGCAACACTTGTCAAACTTGCCATGATCACATTTATCTAAATGTGTATGATAACGAATTCTCATATTCTTATATCACATACGAACTATCATACTTGAACTGTTCACAATAACAAATAATGTCAACAATTTTCATAGACATTGATATACATCTATGCCGACACACACACAAATACATACATGTCGCATGAAATAGAGTTGCCTTGACCCTAAAGAATATATGACATTGACTTGATCAGTGCACTGAATACTATTTTTTCTACTTTACGGGTTTGTACGTAAATGGTGATCGGTGATGAGAGACTTGATAAGGCGGGGGACACAAAAAAAATTAGAGAATTTATCTCAACCAATCAGAAAAATCATGGGCGACATAGGATCTAGAAACAGATCAAAAGGGAGATACAGTCGAAACAAAGGTGTGAACAACAACAGATTTAAGGCCAACGGCAACTAATCAAGTTTCAGGTTAACAGGTCAGACGTGGAGAAATTCGAATATTTCACTTCTTACACATTTGAAATCATTAATCAATCATCATTGTTAGACCACCATTAGAAACCTGGAAGCACTGGACGGCCGTTTCGTCCTAGTATGGGACTCCTCAGCAGTGCGCATCCACGACTCCTGCTCCTCGCAGGATTCGAACCCGGGACCTTTGGCATTGTAGGCGAACGCCTTACCATCGGACCACTGGGCCGGCATCCAACGGTGTTAATGTCTAACTCTGATTGATCTAGGGATTTTGCGCGACCTCACCCATTTGTCTTTGGTAGTTACTGCCTACACCCGACAGGGTTGAACTCCACTGGTCACGTCTTCTCAACTAGAACTCCGAGAATTTCCTCACGAAGCTAGTCACTAGTGAGCACTGTTACATTATATTGGGGCACAGTTTTGGAGGTTTGAGTTTTTACACATTTGAAATCATTAATCAATCATCATTGTTAGACCACCATTAGAAACCTGGAAGCACTGGACGGCCGTTTCGTCCTAGTATGGGACTCCTCAGCAGTGCGCATCCACGACTCCTGCTCCTCGCAGGATTCGAACCCGGGACCTTTGGCATTGTAGGCGAACGCCTTACCATCGGACCACTGGGCCGGCATCCAACGGTGTTAATGTCTAACTCTGATTGATCTAGGGATTTTGCGCGACCTCACCCATTTGTCTTTGGTAGTTACTGCCTACACCCGACAGGGTTGAACTCCACTGGTCACGTCTTCTCAACTAGAACTCCGAGAATTTCCTCACGAAGCTAGTCACTAGTGAGCACTGTTACATTATATTGGGGCACAGTTTTGGAGGTTTGAGTTTTTACACATTTGAAATCATTAATCAATCATCATTGTTAGACCACCATTAGAAACCTGGAAGCACTGGACGGCCGTTTCGTCCTAGTATGGGACTCCTCAGCAGTGCGCATCCACGACTCCTGCTCCTCGCAGGATTCGAACCCGGGACCTTTGGCATTGTAGGCGAACGCCTTACCATCGGACCACTGGGCCGGCATCCAACGGTGTTAATGTCTAACTCTGATTGATCTAGGGATTTTGCGCGACCTCACCCATTTGTCTTTGGTAGTTACTGCCTACACCCGACAGGGTTGAACTCCACTGGTCACGTCTTCTCAACTAGAACTCCGAGAATTTCCTCACGAAGCTAGTCACTAGTGAGCACTGTTACATTATATTGGGGCACAGTTTTGGAGGTTTGAGTTTTTACACATTTGAAATCATTAATCAATCATCATTGTTAGACCACCATTAGAAACCTGGAAGCACTGGACGGCCGTTTCGTCCTAGTATGGGACTCCTCAGCAGTGCGCATCCACGACTCCTGCTCCTCGCAGGATTCGAACCCGGGACCTTTGGCATTGTAGGCGAACGCCTTACCATCGGACCACTGGGCCGGCATCCAACGGTGTTAATGTCTAACTCTGATTGATCTAGGGATTTTGCG